TGATGAAACACTTGGAAACGTAACAGGTGAGGTTGATGGAACAGTAGAAGTATCTATTATTGGACTACCACTTGATTGACTTGTCTCGGTTTGTGCCGAGTAAGATGTACCAGTGCCTGTTTCTTGTGAGATGGCAGTGTATGATGATGAAACACTTGAAAGCGTAACAGATGAGGTTGATGGAACAGTAGAGGTATCTATTATTGTGCTGCCTTTTGATTGACTTGTCTCGGTTTGTGCCGAGGAAAATATGCTGGTTCCTGTTTCTTGTGAGATACCTGTGTGTGAGAATGACTGGCTTGACAATATAATAGGTGAGCTTGATGGAACAGTAGCAGTATTTATTATTGTGCTGCCTATGGATTGACTTGTTTCTGTTTGTGCCGAGAAAGATGTACCAGTGCCTGCTTCTTGAGAGATACCAGTGTGTGAGGATGATAGACTTGAAAACGTAACAGGTGAGGTTGATGCAACTGTCATGGTATTTATTGATGTGGTGCCACTTGATTGACTTGTGTCCGTTTGTGCCGAGAAGGATGTGGCAGTGCCTGTTTCTTGAGAGATACCAGTGTGTGAGGATGATAGACTTGAAAACGTAACAGGTGGGGTTGATGCAGTAGTTGCGGTATTGATTGTTGTACTGTCACCTGCTTGGCTTGTTTCCGTTTGTGCAGAAAAAGATGTACTAGAACTAGTTTCTTGTGAGATACCCGTATGTGAGGATGGCTGGCTTGAAACTGTAACAGGTGAGGTTGATGCAGCGGTAATGGTATTTATTGGTGGGGTGCCACTTGATTGACTTGTTTCTGTTTGTGCCAAGAAAGATATGCTAGTAGCTGTTTGTGGTGAGATACCAGTGTGTGAAGATGACAGAGTTGAAAACGTATCAGGTGAAGTTGATGGAACAGTAGCGGTGTTTATCGTCGTACTTCCACTTGATTGACTCGTTTCTGTTTGTTGGGAGAAAGATGTAGACGCACCGGTTTCTTGTAAGATATCTGAATTAGATGATGAATGCACTGGGGATGTAATTGATGAAATTTGTGTCGAAGTAGCTGTGTTTTCTGTTGATATTGTTGATATGGTTGCAGGTGATGTTAGGAGCGTTGCTAGATTTGTTACACTGGTATCTAATGATGGCATTGTGTTTGATGGCGGTAAGTCAGAGACTAAAAGTAAAGAAAAGAAGTTATGAACAGTTTTAGATCATGTCGTATCCATAAAGAATGGAATGAATTGTGTTTTCTTGTTAGATGCAATGCATTTAGAAACTTGTTTTTATGGCAGAAGATAGCATAGCAGAATGAAAGTCAGTATAACAAATATACTTATAAATGTAATTCATTATTGATAATATAACTAAATGTATGAATGGTTAATCGCTATATCACTTGACATAAGATATATTGACTAAAAACAGTTTTGAATTAATATAAAGAAGACACAACACACGAAAAAAAGAATACAAATATATATATCAGTGTTACATAAGATGAAGGCAAAAACAAAACCAAGGATTATAAATATACTCAGAAAATAATTTATTACGAATTTTCTTACCTGCTCTTCTCACTAAATGAAATTAGCAGAATTAAAAATTTTTTAAAACTCTTTTATATATACGCCTGGAAAAAATAAGCTGTGGTCTGTATTTTGGAGATATGGTTATCATAGCAGCGTATTTTTAAAAAAATAATGATATATTCTGAAAGCGCGTGATGTTTTCTATTAGCCTGTATATTTGCCTTTTCCTTTGAATCTATGTATGACCAAAAAAAATTGAGTGTTATGAAGGTACCCTCATCTCCAGATTCCCACAGACTTGATTTTGTCAGTGTCACTAAAATTAGTTTTTAAAATGTTTGATCACTATAGAATTACCTTTTGGAAAAAGTAATTATATATTCTGATAGAGCTTGAAATTCTTTATTATCCTGTATATTTACTTATTTTTTTTTATATTTCTTTATCAAAAAGAAAATTTGAGTACAGTAAACGCATCGTCAATTGACAAGTACCGAAAATCGTTAGTTTTTTCCTTTTTTCAAAATATAGTTACTATACTACTAAATTTGGAATAAAGGAATTATAGATTCTGATAGAGCTTCAAATTCTCTATGATCCTATATATATTTTTTCCCTTGACTTGCATTTATATACCGAATGTGCTGCAGTGCATAATTGCAAAATAGTTAACAAATATACAGGATGATAGAGAATTTCAAGCTCTATAAGAATTTGTTATTCCTTTTTAAAAATAAATTTTCCCATAAGAATAATAAATTTTAAAAGAGAACTCTAGAAGCAACGAAAAATGCACATTTTTGATACTTGTCAATTGGCTGTGCGTTCACTGTACTCAAATTTTCTTTTTGATAACTGAATATAAAGAAATAAGTAAATATACAGGATGATAGAAAGTTTCAAGCTCTATCGGAATATATAATTACTTTTTTCAAAAGGTAATTCTATAGTGATGAAAAATTTTAAAAACTAATTTTGGTGATAGTGGCAAAATCAAGTCTGTGGGAATCTGGAGATGAGGGTACCTTCATTACACTCAATTTTTTTTTGGTCATACATAGATTCAAAAGAAAAGGCAAATATACAGACTGATAGAAAACTGCACGCGCTTTCGGAATATATCACTTTTTTTTAAAAAATACACTACTATGATAATCGTATCTGAAAAATACAGACTACAGCTTATTTTTTCTAGGCGTATATATATCAAATGAAACTAATACAAATTATCCAACTATACATATAATGAAACAACTAGACAATGATATATACCTCGGATATTTGCTTTAGATAAATCTTCAGCTAAAGAGGATTCTAAATAAACGACAAGAATAATTACAAATAACAAATTATTTCTTAACTAATCATTTATGTATACTAACGATAATTCTGAACATTATATATACTGAGTACATGAAGACCACCACAACAATTAATTATCATATCATTTAAACTTCTATCACATGGTATGTTACATAAAATGGAATTTACGGCTGGTTGATTTAAATGATTCCCACAACGACATGCATTACTAAACAAAAAAGAAAATTTTAATTGTACCTTACTTTTTTTTTTTTGTTCTGAATTGAATCAATTCAAACTAAATAGATTTCTATTAATATAGTAGGTTTTACCCATTCATTATGCCTGCATAATTATAGTTCGTAGCACAGTGCGAAATACATTTTTCAATCGAGTTCACAACGCCCATCTCTATACCTAAGGTTACATTATCAAAACAACCTTGATAACCAACTATAGTATTCAAACATGTCGAATCTAGGAATGTATCGAATTCCATGTTATTAAATAAGTAAATTATTTTCAATATCAAAAAATACCTGATTTCGATAAACCAATCGAGTTAATAACACTGTAAACACTACTTCGATTATCACCACCACATTTTTCAGATGTTATACATGAATAATGGCATTGATCATCTGATACTTGACCATATTTTCCATATTGTTGTCCACAACGACATTCACTACCATGTTGTATGGCTGCATACTGATAATTTTGTTTTTGACAAGCAAAAATACATTGTTTAGAAGTTAAATGTTTATAATTACCAATAAATATTTCCAGATCATGATTGTCAATATGATCAATAAAACAACCCAAATATTGATTAAAACCTTCGATAAACAAGATTATAAAATTTGTTATTTTATTACGTGATTATCGTTTCGTCTTACCGTAAATAATTGTTATTTGAACAATTAAGTAGTAGAGCAAAAATAGTGCTCGCATTGCAACTGTCGATCATACCCAATGAATAAAAATATTATTTCTAAATCTAAAATAATAAAGAATAAAAAAAAAAAAGAGTTTCTTTTCTTTTTGTATTTATATCAGGCGTAAAAATAACATTTCGATGAATAATCATTCCATTATATTGATATATACAACTATACATTGCATATCGATAATATAACTTTAATGTAAGTTCTATTGATGTATTGACTCCCAGTTCCTCTCTCACTCTCTTGAATTTATAGAAGAGAAAAAAAAATGTCATTCTTTTATTAACTAAAAAACAACTATTTCTTTTTTTTTCTTTGGATGACAAAAAAAACAGATCTGCTGTTGTTTGTTTGAAATAAGAAAGTAAAATAGCATTTTAACTAAGATATTTTAAAACTAGCCTATCAGCTTAATTCATCATATACAAAAAAAAAAAAGCAGCAACATGTTCATCTATCTACTAAAAGACTGTTTGCCTAATCTTTTCCTAGACTACATTTTTTTTCTCATACTTTTCTGTAATATTCTTTTAAAGCAAATATTTAATAAAAAATAGTCAAATAGAATGAGTCAGCATAAAAAATATGTTCTAATAAAATAAAACTCTAATATGTATACGAACAGCAACAGATCGATAAATAGCCTAATCAAAATGAAATAAATTTGTAAATCTAATATGAGCCATCTGTTATACATTACGATATTGACGAAATATTATTATTGTTTCGTTTCTTCTTTTTTGTACAAATAATATTTCATAGTTTTGTTGACAATTTTCGATGATCTTTGGAGTCCACAAGTTTTCATTGAAATAATCATACCATTCACATATATACCACAGACAGTAATTGTTTACGGTTTTCTACTTCTTCTGTTCCTATTTTAATACAAAAATGTCCTGAAGCATTCTTTTACTATTTATCTTAATAAGAACAATCATTGATTTGGAAACGTAACTGTCTACATACTCATAACAGTAAATAATCAGCGATATCAATGTCATAGAACTTTTATTTAAATTTACTCGATCATAACGATGAATGCTTAAGAATATGTATATAATTCATTTATGTGTGTGTATGAACAGAAACTAAAAATGAAAGGTTATATGCCACTTTACGTATATTCGAAGAGTGAATAAAAAGGAAGAAAAAAAGAATTTTCTTTTTCATACAGAATCTACGAAAATTACATTTTGAAATAGGATCTTAACATGTCAATCATATCATTTCATTTCATACATTTACGTTTATATATTTAAAAGATTGAGATACGTGAGAATACAGTGTATTATAAAGAGGATAAATGTTATTGACAGCAAAATGGCTGTGATTATAAAGAAAGATGATACAGTTACGGATATCACATACAGTCGCAGTCTTTATCCTTTTAATATACATGTGTGTGTCAAGTTTAAGATGAAAAGAATATACCGAGAAGGCCAATGAGTGACTCTTGATATAAATGTTTGCTTGAATGAAAGTGATGAAATTATCATAGCTATTTATAGATAAGAAAAAAGTGCTGTTTATTATTTTATTGTCCAGAAAAATTTTCAAGGACATTGTCGTTCGTCAAAATCCAACGAATTCTTTAATGATTTTATATAAAATATGTATGGTTTTGTTTTTGTTTGTGTTATTTTTATTTCTTCAGTCAAAAGTGGTAAAAGAAAGTGAACAAGAAAGAAATCTTATGAAGGTTCGCCTAAACAAAGGGTACCACAATAACTAGAATCACTACATGTGTACAGAAATAAAGAAAAAGTATGGAGAAAATACATATTTATTCTCGTTTAACTGTTCTTCTCTTAATAATAATACAATCTTATTAAGCAAAAATTAAATTGATATCAATCATAAATAGGTTTATTCAATGAAAGATTTCGTTTGATTATCTGTATATGAATTCATACCTGCTTATTTGTTTTTCTACACTTTTATTCATCCATAACGATCATAATATCAACAAAAAACAAAACCATACTCTATCCATGTATATATCAATCAAATAACATTTGTGGAGAAAAAAAAGGAAGTCATACAGTTTGTATTTAAAGAATGAAAGTTTCTGAAAATAGTAAAACTTAAGAAAAAATATGTACCTGTTGGCCGCAAGATTCTCTTCTTTATTCAATGTTTCATGCCAGAAGCAAAATGTTTCTTTCGTTTTTATCAGACTCTTCATGATTTTTTTTTCATTTTATTAGTTTCTTTGAAATAGAAACATAGGTGCTAATCTTCTATTAACGAATATAATGTATATAACTTCGCACTGTGAGTAATTGAGAGCTTAAGAAAAAAACCTATTACACAGCAATATTTAATTCATGTTCTATAAGAATATCTTTTTATATGAGTCATTGCCCCTCTAGAAATTGTCACCATTTTGAGTTCAGTATGTTACTATGCATTCTCTTACCTACACGTTCCCCATAATTACATCCCACTATGTGTTTTTTATCGATTCGAGCGTCCTCTAACGAATCAGCAGTTTTGACAAGATAAATAAACTATATTTATGTACCTACCAGTTACTTTTCAAAATCGCATGACATAAGCTTGAAAGATAACCGTTTATTAGTATAATAAAAAAAAAACGAAAATGGCAGAAAAAACGGTCGTGCAACGTTCAGGTAATGCTGTACATAAAGAAGTTTCATCTTATAATGAATTATATCAAGATTCAACATCTGTTGATAAACGAAAAGATCAATATAAAACTTTAGTAACAAATTATTATAGTTTATCAACAGATTTTTATGAATATGGTTGGGGTCAAAGTTTTCATTTTGCTAATCGATTTCGTGGCGAGACATTAGCAGAATCAATACAACGACATGAATCTTATTTAGCATTAAAAATGAATGTTAAACAAGGTGATAAAGTACTTGATATTGGTTGTGGAGTTGGAGGACCATTAAGACGTATTGCATACTTAACTAGAGCACATGTTACTGGTTTAACAATCAGTCAATATCAAGTTCAACGAGCTAAAACTATTGGTAAGAATTTTACTATAAATCTTTTTTTTTTCAAATACATCTCTTTCAATATGATTTAAAATTTTATCATAGGTGTACCACCTAATTGTCAATTTATACAAGGTGATTTTATGGAATTACCATTTGATGACAATAGTTTTGATCATGTTTATGTTATTGAAGCTGTATGTCATGCACCAGAAAAGGTAAATTATTGTTTATATTATATATTTATAAAAACAAATAGACAAACAAAATCATGTTCTTTTTTGTTGTTTCAATTAGGCTAAATGTTTTGCTGAAGTTTTTCGTGTTCTTAAACCAGGCGGTTCATTTGTTGGTTATGATTGGTGTTTAACGGATAAATATGATAAAGAAAATCCTACACATGTTGAAACAAAACGTTTAATAGAAGAAGGTGATGCATTGCCAGAATTAAAAACAACTCATCAAATAATATCAGATCTTAAATCCGTTGGTTTTACTATTGAAGAAAATCAAATAATACCCGAAGGTGATATTCCATGGTATCAACCATTGAAAGGTGGGGATTCATTTTTTTCACTGAATAATCTTCGTGCATCATCAATTGGTCGATGGTTAACAAGTAATATGGTTTGGCTTATGGAAAAAACTTGGATAGCTGCTCAAGGAAGTGTCGGAACACTTAAAATACTCGAAAAAGCTGCTGTAGGTTTAGTACGTGGCGGTGAAAGTGGTATATTTACACCATATTTCTTTTTTCTTGCTCGAAAATCTTAATTATTAGAAAGACACAAAAAAAAAAAATAGAACAATTTCTTGATAAATTATTTATTTTTGTATTTTTTATGTATTAGTATTAAGTAACGTTATGTTCATTCGATTCAATTGAAGTAGATGAAATAAATTTCTGAGCAGCTAATTTTGCAGCATATGATGGACGTCGAAGAGCTATTGTTTGTTGTTGCCGTTGTACAAGTGTACATAAATCACGAATTTCATAAAGTGTATCTGTTAATGATTCAGCAAATTCTTGTGAATTTGTTGTTGAACAACTATGAAATGATGATATACAAAAAAGAATACTATCTGAACGAACATTATATGAACAACCATAACCATCGGGTACAACTGCACCATAACAAATAAATGAATCATTTATATTTGTTGTTACTTGACTTGTTGATAAATTAAAATGATTACTTAATGCATAACCTGGATCAAGAAATAAATCTGGCATTGGAAGATTATTATCACGGGCTATTTGTTTAAGAGCAAGCACTATAAAATAAAATATACATATATATATATATACATTTTATTTAAAAAAATAAAGCTTTTTTTTGTTTTAATTAAACTTACTATGACAATCCATTCCATTACCGAGAATATTCTATAAGGAAAGAAGACATTTGAGTCATATTTAAAAAAAAGTTTTTTTTTTTTAGTAAAAGTTTCATAGAATATAAATGAGACCTTGGTAGACAGATGCTTTATAGAACGTTTACTTCAGATGAAGGACAAAACAGTTCTATGTAAATATTTCTATGTGTGATGAATTTCGATCTGAAGAGAGACAATGTCGAACTAATGTCTTCACAAGAATTAAAGAGAAATAGATGAAACCTTAATAACTCAATAACAACAATAGTTAGAGACTTGTGATTTTCAAAAGTCGAAAGAAAAGAATTGCGAACACGTTTTTATCTGATACTATATAAAACAAGACGATTTTCAAACTCATCAACTTCGCTAAACGTTCAAAAAAAAATAGCATGAATGGTATCCTTTTTTGATGTAATTTTGAAAATAACGTATGCTTCTGATAGAGGTAGAATTCACGTAATTATCTTCTCGTAGGTCAATATTGCACAAATAAAACCACATATCTATTCGATTAGGTTCTATAGAGTTCTGTTGAGTTTTAGTAAATTTCTTGAAATGGAACATCATCTTCATGTATTGTCTTTGAATGTTTTGTGAAGATAAGAAGTATAAAAATAGCCATTGCCGTTGTCAAGCTATTGAGCTTACATCTACTTTTCTTCAGTTCTGGCGCAAACATTAACAAGAAGCATTGAGGAATCTCTGCTCTTTTCTTAAGTTAAAGATATAAACCAAGAAGCATGTGTTTGAGTGAATTATCTTATAAGATTTACATATATATTCTTACTTTTTTATTCATACAAATTGTTCGCTAAATACCTTTATGATATGAAATATGAATATCTTTGTTCTGTTTAAGGCTGATTTTTTCTATTAATGATAGAGAAGTATGCAAAGTTTTTATTTATATGAAAACAATGTTAAGAACTATTAAACTGTTACCAATCGACTTTCAGAAAGATTAGTCAGCTTTTATATACTTCAGAAAATATTAAATACAGATAGCATTTTTAAATGATGAGACTTAGCTTAATATGGAGTAAAATATGAAAGTTTTATAAGAATTTTTTCGTCTAGAGTAACTTTTTGTAACACAATTTACATGAGATTTTTTTTAAGCTTATTAATCTTTAGTGTAGAATAATTTTTCGAAGCATTATGTTTATCAATTAAAAAAAAAGCTTCTGAACACTCGCCTATTATTGATGAATAAACTTAGCTCATTGGAATCAAACAAATAGGAGATAATCACACTTTTCATTCTAAAAATATTTGTGTGACACTCTGTAGGATAATATATTAATATTATTAACAAGCTATTAAAAGAAAATAAATTATTTTTGAAGTTATTAAGAAAAACACGTATAAGTCCTATGGTAATTAAAATGTGAAACACGAGAAATTTTTTTTTTTTATTTTCAAATCAAAAGCACTAGATTTTTGTATGCCATATACTCATGTAAGAATAATATTCCTAATTATATGGCTTAAATCAAAGTCGTCATTAAAACTTAAAAAGACTCATAGTAATCCTTGATCTCATTTTAAGAAGATTTTAAGGTTATTAATCTTCTCTTGTATTGTTTTTTCCTCATGAGAGAAAAAAAAAAGAAGTATCACATTTGCATTTAATTAATCATCAAATTAGAACATACAACACAAATGATGAAAATCTTTTTTCTTCTTTTTCTCTCGTATTTACCTGAACCATAAGATCAGTTTGTGCTTGCATAGCTTGTCGAAATAAGCGTAATTTTTCTGCTGCAGATATATTACCACTTTCATCAACCATTGCACGTGCCCATTCAAGTGCTTCAGGTGTATTAGCTCGAATATTATCAACACGACCAAAATGAAATCGTCGTGTCGATGCACTTTCATATGTTGATACAAGTTTATTATACATTCTATATTCAAAAAAAAAAAAAAGAATTGTTCTGGTTCTTTTGAAATTTTTTTTTTGTTAACTACAAACTTAAAATAAGTAAATTGAAGGCACATTTGAATAAATGCATCTGGACTCATATTATGTTGTTTAGGAAAATCTTTTCCATAACCCGTAAATTGAAGAATATATAAATCAAAATCATCAATTGCACTAAGTCAATAAATAAATCATAACAATGAATTTATTTGTTTATTTAATTTTTTGATTCTTACTTTTTTAATCTTTCTTTTGATAGAGAAATATTGTGTCTTAAAAAATTATTTAAATTCCATTTTAATCGATGTGGTACTGGAAGTTCACATAATGATTTTGAACGATGAAATCTCTCTTGACTTTTTTCTTCCCTAAAAATCTTTCTATATTATTTAAAAACAAATTTGTTATCTAACTTACATATATTTAAAAAGATGTTCAATTAATTGAATAACAGCTATAGCTTCAGCTGGTGAATGTTCATAATTTAAACCAAATAAACCATCAGTACCAATAATAAATTGCATAGTTTTATCATACCAACGATTTGATGCATTAAACATAGTTTTTCCTCCATGTAATATTTGTTCACCTAATGAAACAAAATCACGTTTTACTGCATTATTAAAATTGACAAAATCATCATTTTCATCTAAATCATTTGCCTCCGATTGATCCAAACATACAATAAATATACATCGTTCAATAAGGTCAAGTGAATCTCGATTTAATGCATCTAAAAAGAAAAAGATTAAGAACATAAAAATTACATTCAATGCTAATTTGAAAGACAATACATATTGTTTTTAGCTTATGAGGAGAAGGTTTGCTAATTACAGCTCATCAACGTTGTTCAGATCTGAAATTATCATGTTAATCGACTCCGAAAATGTTGGATCCGATGAGCTCTACTCCCAATTGATAAGTTACTATTGAGTTAAGGCAATGTTCATTATGTATAATTAAATGAGCTATGAATATCTTGATAATAGTTACCAGGACAACTGATTTTTGAATTTTGATTGAAAACTTTGCATAGAGATATTCCTTCAAGAAAATAGTTTATTATGAATTTTTTAGATCTTATCATTGTTTCTATCTTAAGACATTGTTATGGTAAAAGTGTTTCTTTTGCGTCGCTTATAGATGTCGTGTCGAAGTTACATTGCAACATCTTCTTAAATATCTTTCATCAAGAGGTGAACATCATCATGTTGAATTATATATTGAAGCTTCTGTTTTCAGCGAAACAATATTCATAAATATATTTATAAATATTTATTGTGAATAATGTACAAATCATTTAAAAATAAAGCATTTTATTTACTAATCTTGTTGAGTTTCCTACTTATTTAGAGTACTTCAAATGTTCTACAGTATCGAAAAGGGCAAAATGCTTTTATGATATCATTAGTAATAAATTAGAATTGATAATACATAAAGAATCAACTCATTCATGAGTAGAGGTTAAGCTTTCCATATATCAACTCAGCTAAAAAAAGACAGACATGAGTCGATCTACTCATGATTGTCGCACTGCATTAGTAATTATATTCAATTTTAATTACGTTTACGCAATAACGTTAATTATCAGACACGAAATGAAAGACAAGTATAATTAAATAATTAGATTATGGATTATGGATAATATCAATTGATATAAAAGAAGGGTGTCAATGGAAGAAAAAAAAAGTATATTCGAATAATTTCTAAGTCAGAGTATAGCACACATTGTCAAAACTATAAATTTGCAATATGATTGCTACACCTGCATGATCACCTGTGGCTCACATATGAAGTACTCTAAATGAGTAGGAAACTCAACAAGATTAGTAAATAAAATGCTTTATTTTTAAATGATTTATAAATATATTTATGAATATTGTTTAGCTGAAAACAGAAGCTTCAATATGTAATTCAACATGATGATGTTCACCTCTTGATGAAAGATATTTAAGAAGATATTGCAATGTAACTTCGACAAAAATTTCTTGTCGAAGTCTAACTTGGACAAATTTTCTTGCCAAAGTTACGACTTCGGCACGACATATATACAAATACATTCGATGTTCTTATTTCAGGATAGAAACAAATCAAAAGATCTGAAAGATTCAAATCGAAGTCCAAAAATGAGTTTTTCTGGTGTTCTTGAATGAAAATAGTATGACATTAATAAAAAAAAAATACTGTACGTTTTTCGTATCTTCATAACAATACTGTATTACTTCGAACTCCTTTCAGCATATTCAAAATTTATTCGAATCTACATAATGTATACAGTCTCGATTCAAAAGTGTTTAATCAGTTGGGAATCTTTTCTCACTAAATAATAAGGTTTCCAGTAATTTTTCTTATCCTTTAAATTTATTTTATGAAAAGAAACCTACTATGCTTTCAAAGTGAAATACTTATTTTTCAAAGTTTATTATCCAAATGACTATATAAGTGTATTATTTTTGATCATCATAATTTG